TTTCCTTTCATAGCTTACCTTTGGTTACCCTCAGAGTACTGCAAATAATCCCTAAGGGTACTAGTAAACACATTTACACAAGATTAGCAGATTTAAACCATACAACATTAATTTAAGATGCGTACAGTCATACTAGTAAAATAATATACATCTGCCTGCTATTAAAATGGTGGGACCTCAAATATGGGGAAGAGGAAAAACATTTAAATTATTAACAGAATATTATAAATATTAATTGCAAGACTTATAACGACCACAGCTATAAAGTTTATTTCTGAGTAGCTGTATTGAGTTCAGACAAATGAATCGCGTGCGCGTCTCTCCCTCCTGAGCTCTATTTTAAAGCACCAGTCGTGGTATTTATTACCGTGTGAATCATACCTGCACATCAAGGTTTCCTCTGTATTCAGTGCTCAGGGGAAACACAGGTGTTTTACTGGATGCATTAACTCTGTGTTTATGTCTCCGTTTATGATGCCCTGACAAACGTCCAGCGGTCTGTCAGCTTCCATTTACAGTAACGGGTTTTATCAAACCATGAATGAATTATTCAGCGACAGTGAGTGAATGATGAGGGATGACTCACGTCTCTTTAATAACAGCTGTCTCTCTTTCAGCCTTATCAATAATTCAGAGTCTGTTATTATCCGGCTTTACCGGCTCCCTTTTTGTTTCACCGAATTTGCCCGTTCACGATTCGAAGACAGAGACGAGGAGGGAGCGCATTTATTTTTCCGTTTTACCCACTCCTGTTAGAAGAATAACGTAGAATAAACCGGCGAGCAAAGCAGAAAGCACAAAACTGAGCTGAAACATTTTTCTCGAGGACGTCTGAGCTGCTTTCATAAACAAGCAGCTCTCCGACTGGGCTGAATTTAGCCGTTCTTCTTTGCTCTGCGGCCCATTAGCTTGATTGCATTTCCATTTTTCATTGTCTACATGACATTTCCCATCGTCCTCCTCTTTTCTCTGCGTCCTGGATCTTATGTATGGATTGCTTTCTGTTCGGTCGTTTGGCATTTAATCATTCGTCATGTTACGTCTCTTAGAAACCTCGTGAGTCAAATTCTAAGGGACTGGCGCACTTTGACATTTTCAATTTATGTAATTGGTTAAATTGATCTTGACACGGTCACGTATCCTATTACGGGCAAAATACATTGTTTTGGGAATGCTCCACATCTGACTCACAGAGGTAAGATGTCTGCTACGAGTAATGATAGATGAAGACAGCTCAATTACCTTTAACAGGGTAGGATTTGAGACTGAGGAGCTTCAGTAGTTTATCTTCCTGCCTGCAGGTGGCAGTGTTGTGATTACCTGTCACTCCAAGGGCCACTCCACTCCTTCTCCCCCCAAGGGTTCCTCATGCGGATCATGTGCAGCTTCTCCGACTTGAAGAAGGCCAGCAGTCCGTGACCTAGCCGCACCTTCCGTACATCTGTCACGGCGTAGGCGTGGCCTTTGACCAAACCGCAGTCCAGCCGCGCCTCCATGTCTTCTATTGTGGTCGCCTGGAAAGCAGAAAACACAGATGCCTCTGTCAGTCTAGACAAAAGAAAAGAATGCTAACAAACAAAGCTAACACACAAAAGCAGTTCCTCTGGTGGCCACTTGAGGCAGTCTACGAAACTAAGTCAAGTTGAGTTTGGGCCTTTATGGAACGTTTTCCCCATAATAATGACCCTGAACTCATCCACCTGGATACTGGAGGTAGGAGCATAGCTGTGGGGGGTGTCCCAAAACAGGGAAGCTGGAGTCAGTCGGTGCCTGCTAGTCCTCATCTGTCACTTTGAGTCCCTAAAGCAGGGTCCCCAATCCCAGTCCACGAGGGCCGGTGTCCCTGCAGGTTTTATATAGGTCCTTGATCCATCACAGCTGATTTAAATGGATAAATTACCTTCTCAACATGTCTTGAAGTTCTCCAGAGGCCTGGTAATGAACTAATCATGTGATTCAGGTGTGTTGACCCAGGGTGAGATCTAAAACCTGCAGGAACACCGGCCCTCGTGGACTGGGATTGGGGACCCCTGCCCTAAAGGGACGTCTTAAATGTGTGTTTGTGCTGTTGTTCCTTTAAAGTCTTTTTAAAGGAATTCTCACTAGTATTATCCCATCCCCGAGGTTTGTGCTTCAGTTTTGGTTAGTTAAAAATGTATTTTTTAGTATTTAATAGTCTGTTAATTAGAACTAATTATCAGCAGTGGTAATAAACAGGGTGATAGAAGAGGTCAGACAGGAGTATCTGTGGACTACGATGTTTGCAGATGACACTGTGATCTGTGGTGAGAGGAGGGAGCAGGTGGAAGACAGCTTGTTGAGGTGGAGGTATGCACAAGAGTGAAGAGTATGAAAGTACGCAGAAGCAGGTTTGAAAGTTGAAGATAGAGAGATTTTAACTACCATTCAAAACAACAGACAGTGTACCAGAGAGGTGAAGAAGAGAGCCGAGGCAGGGTGGAGTGGGTGAAGATGATTGTCATGAGGGATTTGTGTCAAAAGAAGAAAGGACGGTTTGCACATACAGAGGGCTGGTGTCACAGAGGAGCACGGTAGAAATAGGACAGGGTGAGATGGAGGCAGATGATCTGTTGTGGCGACCCCTAAATGAGGCAGCCGAAAATATTTAGCAGATGTGTGTGTGTGTGTGTGTGTGTTCCACCTGTATAGTTTATGAATGCAGCTTTGTTAAATGCTAGGTGGTGTTAGCTGATATATAAGCGTCTGGCTCTAAACCTCCCCCATCATGGTGGCAGACAAAATGCTAACGCTGGAATGTGGAAATGTAGTACAAAACCAATGGGTGACATCATATAGGCTATGTCCATCATGTCTACTGTCACGGACCGCCATGTCAGTATGTTCAACTTACATACCAAATACGATCAGTTTTGGTTAAAAAGGAGCAAAGAACAAAATAAAGCAAGCTGCAGGGGCCAAAAAGCTAGAAAAAAAGGCAAAAAGGTGAGACTTCAAAAAGCTCGAGTAACCAACATCTGTTATCTTTCACATAAAATCTATGCTCGCAACAGCTTTTACTATTTTGTTCTTGCATAGATGTGAGTCGGCTTAATGTTTTATTGGAAGGACTGAGCTTTGTAGAAAAGCTGCTATATTGATGTCTAAACAGATGGTGGCAGGAGAGCAGCAATTCTCAGTTTACTGGAGGTTCAGACAGCATAAAAGATGGACGTAGCCTCCTGGTCTTAAAAGTTAAGCACCTGAAACCTGAATTCTTAGGTGCATCTTGTCCTGTACCCCCCAGCCGGCCCCAACAGACGGGAAAAGGAGGTTTCTCCTTCCCGCTTGCTCATAAAGGGTCGTCTGATTGATGGGGTTTTTTTTCTGTTATTGTGAGGTCTTAACCTTAGAATCTCAATCACCTACAGGCGACTCTTGTTGTGATTTGGCGCTATATAAATAAATGCAATTGTTGTCTTTTTAAAAGGCCAGCAGGGGGCTGCTTATCTTATTGTAAAAAGACTTTTGGTTTCAGATCACACTGAATAAAACATTAAGATCATCTTGCAAATTACAGTAACCCACTGCTACTTATATAGTATCTTTCTACTCAGTTTTGAGTCACTTGCTGATTTCTATACCTAAGCACTTTTATCTAACATTTACACACACCCACATTACAATGAATGCATCCGGGTATTCAGAGTTCAATATCTTGCCCAAGGATACATCAAAATGTGGACTGTAGGAGGCGGGGATCGATCCCCCAACGTTCTGATTGGTTTACGACCCGCTTTAACACCTTTTAGTGTCAAAAAGACAGGATTATCAATGCTATCCTCATTGGCCAATGACTGCCGACGTCAGTCAGATCCACACTTCATCGTCTTTAGTTTCAAAACATCAAGATGTCAACGGTGAAAATGCTCAGCTCGAGGTGCAGAACAGGATTTCAGTAACGAGTGGGTGACATCAGAGTGGCTACATCCATGTTTTATCCATGTTGACCCATTTATTGTACTCAAATTAGTCTGACTTTCTATTTTCCAGTGTTGCAAATAGCTGCAGTGAATATTTGTTATTTTTCCTCCTGAATATTTTCAAGGGCTTGCTCAAAGGGAATTGTAGGAATGTTTAGCTTATTTTAGAGTTTAGGAATGTGTTAGATAGGATATAGACTTGTGAGACACTGACACTGCCCTGGATATAAATAAAGGCCTGACTGTGTCATGAACTTAGGAGTAGATTGTAGGAGACCCTCCCCCAGTTGAACTGTGAAAGTAAGACAAAGAGGAGTTAATGCTGAGTGGAAATTCCCCAGAGGATACCTGGGTGGGGGTCTCAACATTTGTAACTGGATAACTGTGGTCTGGAAGGGAGATGGACTTTTATGACCGGCAGGGAGTCACGTACATAGAGACACGCACCCACAGTGCTTTAACTGTTACGCACCCACACCCACATGCGTACACAGTCACTCACGTGCACTCACACATACATACAGGTACGCACATACATTCACTCACGTGCGCTCACATAGGCATACGGGTACGCGCACACGCAGGCACTCACATGCTCGTGCATACACACAGACACAGAGTTTGGAGCACACCATAGGGTTTTATGATGGGGTTGCCTCTATAAAGCTGGCTGTAACTAACAAAGGGGTGAAGATTTTGCAGAGGGACATCGGCCTGGCAAGTCTTCCCTTCTAGAAGAATGCATGCTTAAATGAGGATAAATAAAGATGAGTAAAGATGAATAAAGTTTTTGTGAAAATGACTACTGAGTCCGGTGCCGTCTCTGGATGCTCGAGGAATAAAAAAGAACCGGGGTAAAACTGATTTCGCAACAGAATGTAAAGTGCCCTGAAATGAATGTTGTTGTAAGGCTGGTGCTATTTAAGTGAAAATTAAATTGACTCTAAATGAGTTCCAAGAATACATTTTACTAACAGCAAAAAAAAAAAAAAAAATAGGAATGAAGGACCGATTTCTATCCCCTTAAATTATTCAAATAAAAACTGAAGCTCTTGCAAAAATAATAATTTCCTGAGCACACACACATATGAGCACACACACATATAACTTGTAAATTAGAGCCAGAAAATAAATACATAAAATAAAATAGAGACTCAAAGAAACTTCATACACAGCCCTGAAGTTTGACTCTTGTTACATTTCCAGCACTACCTTACAGCTACAGTTATGTGCCGTCAGGGTGCAAAAACCTTGTGTGTCATTTCAGTATAACTAACAGCAGAAAAAACCGAAATTAGTAACAGAATGTGATTTTAACTGACTAGTCACGTCTTTACATTATAACTTTAATACAAATGGCCATAAATTTGTCCTGGTTTATAACTGAGTTTTTATTGGCTTCTCTTTTTCACTGGAATGGACCGTTTATTAATCCCCACATTAAAACCTGCTTTTGCTAACAGGAAGCCTATAACAATACCCGGGTCTGGTTCTTCAAATGCTGAGGACAGGAAAAGACACACAGGCACAAATCTGAAATGTTGCGCACAATGGCACCTCGTTCGCACGTTAATTATAGCACAAAGTTGAAGAGCCTTTGAGAAGAGCTCATTCGGAGATTCTGAGATGGCTGCTATCTTTGCCAGACAATTGAATGTCTTTGGAAAGTCAGTCACGACAGGCAGAGGTTGGTTATTCATCCCTGGATTTTAAATCAGAATAGAAAACGTTCTAATTATTAAAGGGCTCTGGGGAGGTCAGCTGTGGGTGATTACACAATTTTCAGACAGCGGGGTTTTGAATGCTGTTGAAATGCCAAGTGCGAGCTTCCCGATGGCTTTGTTTCAAAAGTCAGGTGCTTGAATGCATCTTTAATTGACACTCTACTTCTGTGCTATTGCACCTGGATGAAGTGCAAACAGCAGAGACTGACATCCTCTGACTATTGGGGTGGGATGAGGTTTAAGTTCCGACTAAAATTACTCCATCAGCCGGTTGAGCTGCAGTTTAGACCAACATCTTTGACTCTGACCTCCAGTAAGAGAGTTTCTGTGCAGTAATTAGCGCATTAATTACTGAAGTATGGCCAGAAATTGAACTGTAATCCAAATTTTAGTCTTAACACAGAAAATCAGCTTTGATTTGAGGGCTGTGTTCAAGGTTTTCTTTTGGTGCTTCATATTCATATATGTACATCCAACAAACACAAGCATGTTAGAATAACTGGTGATTCTTAGCGTGTTCTTTAAGCTGAACCTTTTGCACGGTTCTTACCCTGATGGAGCAGCTGATGAGGCCGTCTCTGTTGTGGACTTTGAGCACTCGTTCAAACAGCTGGTTACGGGCCGCCTCGTCTGTGGCCATCTGACCCTCCAGCAGGTCCACGGGCTCAGAAACACCACCCGTGAAGTCCACCAGTGCGTCAGCCGTGTTCCCCCCATCCAAAGCCTCATAGCAGCCGTAAACCCTGCAGGAAGAGGGAACAATTTCATATACAGTTCCTATTTTTTTTGGGACTGTTGCAAAAACAGGTTACTTCTGACTGGTTAAATGTGGTAACAGAGATAAGGCCATGATGTGTTTTGTTTTTGTGTTATTTATTTAGAGAATTTTCCCATTTAAAATCGAGTTACAGATACCGGTTACAATTAAATGACTAAGTCAAAGCAATAAAAATAGTTGAGCAAATCTATAAAATCAAACTGACGTACAAAATACTGAGAAATGGACATCACATCGAACTGTGCAATCACATCTTTTAACCGATTTATCTCTTTTCCATGAAAGAACTAAAAGAGCAAACTTGTGCACATGAATGAGTGTTGATCTCTGGAGTAATCTGCCCACAGATGTGACTCATAAAACCTTTTTAATATGAAAGGCACAAAAGAACCTCTGACCTTCATAAAGTAATGCACTTTTATTTCCAGTCTGTTTTTTAGCTGTCTTATGCTGTTGACTCTGTTTGTGGTTTTTTATTTTTTTTTTTTAAATATCGCACTGATGTCATATTGACCTGTTTCGCTATTGACATTTGTAGTTCCTTTTTTTTACACTTAATTCCTGCATTTTATTTCAATTTTGCTTTCAAGCTTATGGTAAAAATGTCTATTTATTAATGACCAAAAAAAGGCAGAGAGTGTTTTCTGCATAGCTTTAAAATTATTTTTGTTATTTGATATCAATGTTGAGTCATCCACGTCTAAAAAATGATGTACTCTTGTGTCGTCTTGTGTTTTATGAAGGACATAATAATTCTTTTGTATCGGGCTTTTGGTTTGTGGACAGAAACCTGCTGAAATGTGCTCGTCTCGCCTGTTCACTGATAAATGATAAACGTTCAGCACAGTTTAACACATCTTACAAATGTCTGTGTTATGGGATGATTTCTAGGAATAATGAATGTATCTGTGATGTGAAAAAAAGTGTTAATGACACCAATATGTGACCACACCCTTGGTGACTCTGTACAAGCTTCATAAATCTGACTCCGATGGATTTATAGTCGAGTTTAAGTAAAATCTGCTGCCTCTGATGCTCACTTGGCATAGGCTTTCTCCACCAGGGCGCTCCAGAACTCGTTGCTGTCGTTGGAGTGGCAGTAAACCAGCTGGTTGTCCACCGTCGGTAGCCGGTCATCAATCACCACGTCCACCCACTCCCCGAAGCGCCAGAAGCGAAAGTGGAAAATCCCAGCGTAGGAGTCTGGTTTTTCTGTATCCCACTCCTGCTCCTTCCAGTCTGGAATGACCTACATGGTGGAGGAGGACAGAGGAGCAGAGGGGCAGGTAAGCCAAACAAATAGCCGTTGGTCCATGGAGCACAAATAATATCATAGTGGAGTGGGCAGGCGAAGCGAGACCACCGTCCCCCTCATGTCTGCTGTTGCGTTCAGGATTAGGGGACAAATTTATAACCTTGGCTTTCACAGTCATAAATCCAGCTGTAATAGGACATGGGTGAGAGGTAATAACTGTTTGACTGCAGTGTGTGTGTGTGTGTGTGTGTGTGTTTTGGCTGCCTGCATTTGCTCTGGCCCAGCGAAATGCCCATAACCAGACTCCATTTTGTGAACTGCAGTTAGTTTTTTCACAGGGGAGGTAAAACAAATACACGTATCAGGAATTTCTTGATGACCTCAGAGCCCTGAGCAGACACAGAGCAGTGTTTCCTGCAGAGAGGTGTGTCTGTGTCCCCCCTTTTTGAGCTTTTTTGCTCTTTTTTTGCCCGAGAGCAACATTACCTGCAACTCATTTATTAGTTTACAGTCCTCTTATTTTCAAAGTTCAGTTGTGCTCTTCCAGGCTCAGGTCCCTCAGGTCTTTGATATCTTTCAGCTACGGTGAGAGACACTGACTCCACCGTGCTGGACTGAAACTGGTCACGGCAGTCGTCCTTCTGGTCTGGAGAGCCCCTGTGTGCTGGAGGGTCCCTTTAACCACACCTGCAGCAGGTGAAGAAGTGTTGCACCTACAAGAAGCTCACAATGTCTGCCACCACCACCTTGCAGTCTGAGACAGTGGTGCTGGAGTCGGTCCACACAATGGAGAGGCAACTAAAAACTGCCCTAGTATCACAAAGTTCATATAGTGACTGATTTAAGAAAGCATGCACACGTGTATGAACGCAGGACTGCACATGTAAATATGTATTTGATATATAACTCACCATTCAGAATACTGACTCAATGCAGGCAAAAAAGCTTGTATTTCAGTCTTGTCTTTCTTTAATAATGAAACCATCTATTATCTTAATCACACCCAAATTTCCTAAAAAAGTGCAAACCAAAGTTAAATGACAACATTTTTGACTGATTTCCAA